CATTATTTCTGGAATCTAAAGAACTGATCTGACATGTAGTCTAATTGATTTGACTTTAAATTTGCAAACCTATCAGATGTTCCAAGAAATATGAGATTTAAATTGTTTCAGTTTTTATACAACTTCTTGGTTAGTGTTTTGGGTGGATGGATCTGAGGATATGAGCATATGATACTCTCAGTCCTGGTAAGTGGGTCCCCGTAACGAATTACATAAGAGATCTTAAATCTCTCCTTCCAACCCTGGAATTAGGCTGGCAGGCAAATATGTATCTCCCATCCTTATCTAGGGCAATAGAACTGATTAGTTCATAGTGGGAGAGAGCCAGCCCTATGAACTCAACAGGCTGCAGAACCTGGCCAAATCAGGGTAAACAGAGCACCTGCTGGATAACATCTATTGTGAAATTGTTGTATTTTCCTATTCTAACTGTAGTACAAGCCTTTTCTGTTCCATTTCTTTTGCACCTGCTGCTTCCTTTTACGTGATGTGTCACGATATATTGCGACTTTTTCCCCATTGCCGGTAATGGGGTGGGCGCGGTTTTGGAGTGACACATCTGGCCCTTGGGCCAGCAGTTTGACACACGTTTTAGGGGGCTGAGATTAGTAATACTGAAACATGGAACTTATTCTAAAATAAGGATTGCAATTGAGGCTCATAACAATGGTAGACTATCAAGTATTTTAGACATCACTATTATCTTTAACACCTGCACACTGAAAGCTTCACTTGCAATTTGTTTTATATAAGGGGACAGAACTCAGAACTAAGTCCCCAGAGATGAGCTAAAATTATCACCATCCAATAAATCTTAATAGTAAACAAGCACAAAACAAGAAACAAAAATATATGGGGAACCAGTAACTTAAGAGCTAATATTATCCAAAGGCTACACATTACATCTTAAGATATATTAATATATGGCATATAATAAATGAATTAGACATATGTGAAATAGATATTTTCTAGCCTATTGAAGATATTCCAGAGACACTAGGACTTTGTTGCCATATTATTATAAGCAGGGCTTTTTTTCTCATAGAACGCCCAGAACGGAGTTCCGGCACCTTTTTGGGATGGAACCTTGTAGGATAGGCAAGGCGGGTTGTATGACATGTGTGAGTTCCGGCACTTTTTTTTTTTTTTTTTTTTAGAAAAAAAAAGCACTGATTATAAGAATACAAACATGAGTTGCTTAATGTGCAAATAAATTATTTGTAGGATAATGATGAGAAAAAGTCTGAGCACAAAAAATAAACTCTCTAAAAGAAGAGCCCCATTGTCAGCTTAAATAGGAGGACATTACTTCTCTACCTCTGATATAGACTCTAGAAGAGTCAGCTAGCTAGGGAATTCTGGGACTTGAAGTCCCCACATCTACAAGTTCCTATGGTTGAGAAACACTACACCAAAGGTAAACAAAATCCCCAAGCTTTCTTTCATCCAGTACCACAAATCTGCAATAGTTCCGTAAACAAGCTGATGCGACCTCTTCCCAGTTGTCCCTCTCCAGCTAAGATACAGAATAATACAATGAATCGAAACAGCAACCTGTGGCAAATCTGGTTATATTTGGCCAGAAGTGTCACAAGTTTATTTTGAAGAAAAAATACATTTTATAACTTAACTGCCATCCATGCCCACAATTACTCCTATCTCTGATATATTCAGACTATTATGAAGAATTAACACTTTATATTGAACAATAACACTGAATGAACAATATAGGATATGGTATTTATTTTTACAAAGGCACATCAACAAAGTTTGTTGCAAGTATTGACAGCATCTCCTTTTCTTCCATATTAACAGTCTTCTCTTTTCCTTCTTTTTTCACTCAAATCTTTCTCTTCTAATTTGTCCTTCAACATATTTTGTTTTCTTCTCTCATTAGGTAGCCTCCAATTCTTTATGTAGACTTGTAGACAAATAAAATGCTTGTCTATTGTTTTGTCATATTGCTTATTTATGAGAAATCTAAAATGAGATTGAGAAAGACTGCTCAGAATAAGAACAGTAGGAAAAATAATTTAAACAGCAATGCTTCCATTGCTGAGGGAGTCATTTTTGTCCTCCCTTATCCCAGGGTTATTATTTTTGTTTTTATGCTATTTACTACTGTGACTTTTTATATTTTATCAGTTTTATTTGGGCTATTTTATTTATTGTATGCTGCCCAGAGTTTCTTTTGGGGATGTGGATGACTATATATAATTACTAAGCCCGTGGTTTGAACTGCTGGCTTTGTCATAAGAATGTATGGCTTGCCTTCGTGGTTTGAACTGCTGGCTTTGTCATAAGAATGTATGGCTTGCCTTCTGAGACACTACACAAATACCTGATTTATTGGCGGTTTATAAATTTCCCTTGTCTGTTGTCCTGGCTCATTCTTTCTGTTTTGGTGCCCTGTCTGAACTCTTCACCAGGCTACAATTGACTGGGAGAGAATTGGCTAGAAAATGAAACTACGCTCCTGGCTAAGAATTGCTCACTGGCACTTTTCCAAAAATAGTTCTCCATTCTAATTTAGCTTGGCAAAAGGTTCTCTTTTTTTCCTGCCCGGGTTTCCTTCTCACAAGCTTTCTCTCTCAAGACATCATGTGGAGCTTCTTGGCTGCTATTTTTCAAGAAAAGTACAACTCAAAGGGACTGTTGCTTCTTTACTCAAGCACCCTGTTGAAAGTATTCTTAAAATTTTGCAAATAATTTTAGTACAGTATATCACTACAGAAGGAAATATGATCAACTCTCCAATTGTTTTAGTATGTTTCAGTGCTATGAATTTTTGTGTTCATAAAGTATTTCATCAGTTTGCTTGCAATATTCCACAAGTGCTGATCATAAGTGTTAGTATTATATCCAAGTGTGGCTACTGGGGAAAAACAAACTATGGCAAATTGGATTACAAATCCTTCTATTTTAGTCAAGCAACAGGTGGAGTTTTTTCTCACTCCCTGGACATGCATGTATTCACTTACAGCTCAGCAAGTTCCAAGACACACAGCACAACTGTTTACCTGGTATATTTTTATTTTAATTTGCCTTTTAATTAAACTTGTGTAGTGTTCATGATGGCATACATGTTAGGGAAACTGGGTCACAATTTTGCATTTCTTCACAGAATGCCACAGGAAACTATACGAGACATGATATATATGCATTCATATAAAACTATAGAACAGGGTTTCCCAACCTTGGCAACTTTAAGATCCAAGGATATCAAATCCCAGAATTCCCCAGTCAGCCAGGAGTCTTAATGTTGCCAAGGTTACGAAACCTTTTTCTAGAAGGATGTTCAAATGAAGGGAAGTCAATGGGTCTTTTAAAATCAAAGTTTTAATAATTCTCCAATAAACTCAAGAATAGATTCCATATTTCAGAAGGCACAGAACCAGATGCAATTAACCTATTTAGGTGGTGCCACCAGAAATACAATTCAGAATGATATAATGAAGTTTAACTCAAATATTTTTTCTATATTTAAGAAAGAAAAGTCAAATATATATGTATTGGGGAAATAATATATGCATATGTATTTGTGTCTTTTTAATGTACATTTTAATATCTTTGGTTTTTTGTTCATTTCTATACATTTTTTGAGTTTGTATTTTAGTTTTTTGAATAAAAAAAAATAATAATAAAGAAAAATCTCTGCCTATGCATATAGTTAATTAGAAGCTGGACAGTCCCATATAACTGGATTCTTGCATTGAAGAGAAGATTGGACTAAACAGCCCTTTTCAGTTCAATGTTTGTATGCTTCTATCCACCAAGCATCTCTTAAAAGATGCTAACCATTCTATAATACACAGGTCTAATAAGGTAAATAATATAGAGGTGACTGTGGAATGGAATGGGGAAGCAATGCCTAAGTCATTTTTTTCTTGTCTAATGAAGAAAAATCTCTGGGATAATAATTGAGTGCAGAAAGCATAATATTTATTTAGAAAAAACAAATTGGTAGAAAGCTTCTTCAAGCTAAGATTATTTAAAAACAATGTTTAAGTGAGGAAAGGGATAGGGGAAAAAAATCTATTGAAGAGGAATGCTTGCTCATTTGTCCACATTTATTTGGCTATAACAAGAAATAACCACCTCTTGCACTTTTAACTCTTAAAAATATTTAACTATTATGGTTGCTTTTAATGGTTAAGATAAAAGAGGGTGTTGCAGCTTTTCTAATAGCATGGGTTGTGGTGGTTCTTGTGATCAATATGAATGAAAACATTGTATTCAAACTTGTTGCATTAATTTAGTAAAATCTACTAATTTTCTCCAAATATTAGCCCCATCAATTTTCTATCAGCATCTTTTTGTCTGCTATTCCTCTAGCCCAAATACATTCTCTTCAGGGAAAGGTTTCCCTCCTTTGGAAGCTTATTTAAATTTAAGAAAAAAACACAATATCATCATGCACCATACAGTTTGTAGATGAGCCTAGTCCCTTTGTCCATGACGGTTGAGGAGGGCATTTGGGAAAGGCTGTGTTGTAGGAGAGGAAAAATGATTATTACTACATTTTTATTAGAGGTTTCAATATATCTTGAGACATTGTAAAGATTAACTGTAAGTCCTTTCAATAGTTCCAAGAAGGCTTCACACCCATTTGCACTACTCAGGTGAACCTGGAGACACAGATAAGCCTCGAGGTTGCTTTAAGACAGGCTAAAAGAATGCAAATTAATAGCTGTCTGCAGGAGTAAATCTTTCCATTCCCCACCATCAAGTCAGAGCTGAAGAAGCTTCTTGGATGAGAAGCAAAACGTCTTAAAAAAAACCCAAGGAAGTCCAGTTGCTTCATGAAAAAAGCATCTTTGGGATAACTATGACCTAGATGGCTGAGAATCTCCATAGAGGATTAACTATAAGATTAATATTTATCAGATGAATATGTATTTGCCAAAATAGTGACCAACCAGATGTAAACAAGTATGCCCAGTATCACATGTAACCATTTCTTCATCATGGATACATTCTTAATTAAGTAAGCAAGGGGCTGAATAGAAAACTTTTAATACTAATTATGAACACATACCATTTTATTACTTTGTTACAGCTAAATTCAACAATTCTTCAACCCTGAAGCCATATCTCAAGGCAAATATAATATTATGAACTTAACTAATCTGTTTCCTTCTTTCTCAAGCCAGTTTTTTACACGGTGATTATCCTGCTCTCTTTAATATTCCCTTGCCTAGTAATCCAGGACCTGAACCACATGGAGTTTGCTCTGCCACTGCCTAAAATCCAAAGCTATGTTTGCCTTCTGTTGGCTCTTTTTGAAGATTCTTCTTTGGTTTCAGCTGCCTCAGGCTCCTTCCTGATTCTTCTCTAAGCCATGGGTCATCTGGCGCATCTGCTCCACTTTCCCTCTTTCTTATCTGCTGAAGGTTCTTTAAAACCTGCAGCCTGAGTTAGCTTATAGTGATTCTAAAGAGTTTTACACACACACACAAACACAAATCTTTCTCTGCAAGCATTTAAGACAGTTGACAGATAAAAATGTTACCTTTGACAATCATGTGTAACATTTTTTTGTTCTTTCTTCCACAATTCTGCAGCTTATCTTCTATGTAAAAAGGCCCATAATAAAAGTATAGAAAGGCAGGTGATAGGCTACAATGAGTTCTTGGCACAATGACAAAGAACATGGAACAGGCTGGCTTCAGTTCCCATGAGAAACACATATTATAGCAAAAAGAAATTTCTTTACATTGGAAAAGCAGTGTGTGAGGAGGAAAATATCCCAGGCCTAGGAAATTGAACCCAAAGCTATGTTCCAGTTTCAACTCTGGAAAAGCGTCTATTTCTCCCCCAGCACTTTTGTTTTAAAGCAATATCCTTGGATTCTGTATTTTTGATCACATCTTAATTGAAAAAAAAAAAAGCATTTTGGAAGTTGTTTCTGTGAATTTGAGCTCACATCCATGGAAAATAATCAGGTATGTCAGGATTTGATGAGTCCTTCAGGACACTAGGATAGAGTTCTTTAGATTTCAAAAAAAGAATAAAAATGTTTTGATAAAATTTGCTAAGAAGGCTGAAATGTAGTGATTATTTTGTTATTCAAATCTAAAAATGTACAAAAAGCTGAATGTTATGGCTCTTTTATTTAACACACCTTCCATGTAAAATTGCAACAATATTATTCTTTAGATTCAACACAGTGCACAAATATTGCTAACAATTAAAAAATATACGGTATTATGATTCTGTATGAAGTTTGAGATGAAAATGAGAAGTATAATTTTGAAAACTGGTAAAAAACATTTAAAATCCCAAACAGACTTTCCCTAACAAAGAGTCTTTTTTAATTTTCATGATCATATTTTAAGATGGTCTCCTAGGTGACATCTTTTGCCAAAGAACTCATAGTTTTACTAAGTAGATAATCCTTTACTCAATAAAAATGCTTTTTGGTTTGGCTTACGACCTAAAAAGTTTTGGAGCATGTCCATTCCATCTAATGAGCCTCCAGGCTTCAAGATAAGATTTCTGTATTTCATTCCAGCCTAAAACAATAAAAAATAAAATGAGAAGGTTATGTTTATATGAAGTTTCTAAATGTACAAAAAATAAAGAAAAAGGAAATCTGCCTGCATGGCAACAGTTTGTTGCCATGCAGGCAGATTTGGCAACAGACCTACTCTATTCTATTCTATTCTATTCTATTCTATTCTATTCTATTCTATTCTATTCTATTCTATTCTATTCTATTCTATTCTATTCTATTCTATTCTATTCTATTCTATTCTCTATTCTTATACAAGCTATTTTTTTCTACTGCAATCCAGAATGTCATTTCACAATGTGACTGGCATGGACATGATGAAGTCTCCCATGCTCATAAGTTTCTAGGTGACAAGAAAATTTTTTAAAAGCATCTTATACTGACAAAGAAGTAACAATGAATGTTTTTATCACAGTCTCATTTTGTAGCTAAGTTTTATACTTAGCAGAGTTCACAGTGCACAGAAATCTCTCCTGATCATTTATTACAAAAATTTACCTGGCACTCAGTCAATTTCTGCCTCTATTTCCCCAGGGTTCTCTGTTACATAATTATGGGAATATGCTTTGTGTTTCTATAATCCTTTCGGAAGATTGTTTTCCTTTGGCATGTTTTCATAGTCAGGGATTGTTGCAATAAAAAAATCCAAAACTATCTATGGCATCTAAAAAAATCTAACAGATTTAACAGTATAAAATTTCATAGGCAAGTCCCTGCTTCACTAAGGCAGACTGTTATCTTCTATTGCCAGTGTATATTTATTCATCTTTGGCAGCTGAAAGTTTTAACTGCAACATGTTTTGTGGAAGAAGGAAGCATTATATGATTACATGTACTGAGCCCTGCCTTTGTGGCTGGGCATGTGGTAGAATTTATCCCAGAAACCCACACATTAACATGATTACCTATCTTGAAGCCTCAGTAGCTAAGATAAAGGGTTTGTCACTAGTCAACTATACTATACTGTGGATTCAGCAGCAGGCTTTACTACTACCCAATGATAGTCTTTCATGAAGGGAGGAGCATGACAGGGAAGCTAATGGGTTTGGGTATTTTCCTTAATAGTACATCTCCACTGCATTCCCAGTATCTTTCCACTATATATACAAATATCTGAAAGTGTTCTTCCATTCATCCAAACCTTGGGAATCGCTTTCATGTGGTATTATACTGTTATTACCTTCCTCTGAAGACTAACCCATTTGAAATAATAGAAAATACTTGTAGCTCGGGTTTTAGAGTTTGACAGTGGTTTGCTCTCCAAGTTTATTTCAATTTAGTTTCTGAACATTTCGTTACCAGACTAGGTAAATATCATCATCAGATTTTCTTGTCTTATTCCTCTTTAGCTTATATATGTTTTGTGCCATTGGCAAACAAGATATATATAAGCTACAGAGGAATAAGACAAGAAAATCCTGCTGATGATGTTACTTAGTCTGATAACGAAATGTTCAGAAATGAAATTGAAACAAGCTTGGAGAACAAATTGTTGCCCAAAACTAACCCATTTTACAGATAATTTTCATACCAGTCCTGAATATTCCTGGAGGCATCTAATGGCGATAAAGATAAGATTCAATATAACTGGTAAAATTCAATTCATACTCAAGTTGCATGAAGATAGCTGGGCATGAAATAATGAGATTATTATAATAGCCCTATTACTGGTTTTCCAATATATCATTGATACTAAGGCTCTTTGCAAATTAGCTCTATAATTTTATCCTTGTTATTCCTCTTTTAGCTAAACCAAACATTAGTTCTATTTCTCCATGACACTTCTGCTTTTCTGGTGGTACTAGAATTTACTTACTGCCTCATGTATTAGAATCTAGTCCTCATGTATTAGAATCTAGTCCTTCCTGCTCTTGAAGAAATCTTTAAAGATTTGTCTATTATTCTTCCATTATTTTCCTTTAGCATTTCCTCTTTCTCACCTGTCTAAACTTCTAAATCTTCAGTTCTGTTTCAGTTATTTTCCATCTGGCACTATATAAGAAGCTAATAAAGCTAATAAAGATATTTTATTAGTATTACTTACAGGAACTACTGATGTTTATTTAAACATCAGTTCATCAGGACTGAGCAGCTGTCACAATTAAAACAATAAAAAAGTAAAGCATATTAAATTTTAATCAAACATTAAAATATCTCAATATAAACTTTATGATTTATTATAAAAGTAAGGCCCTGGAACAAACATAGCAGCAAATGCATGGCTTTAATAAAAATGCCAAGATTGTCTTTAGCTATTTTATATTAAACAAGCCAGATGCAATCTTGAAATAGACAAAATATGTTAATTCCTTTTTGCTATCATATTGTCCTCCTATACTTAGAAACGGGAGGGGGGGGGATGATAAGAAAGAATAAAACTAGTTTCTTACCTTGGGGTTCATTATCCCTTCACATTTAAAGCAACTGTAAAAAATATCCATAGAAAACACTTCACTCCACAGGTATCCATAATATTGACCATCATACCCACTTGCCAAATGACCAAAGGTAGCTGGCATATTGGTACCTTAAAAGAAACCAATAATAATTCTGTACAGGTTATGTAAAATAAAACACTACAGAGAACAATCTGAAGATGTTTAATTATGTTATTGAAATGCTTATTATGTTTCAGACTGGCTAGAATCAATGTATGTATTGACAAGAATGCCATGTACATCTGGAAATATATCCTCTTTATGTTCTGTGGCTTGAAGCTCACTGGACTGAATCCAAACACGCCTTAAACTTAAAACATTTTCATCTGAGGTTTTCTCAGTCTAAACTATTTTATAAGCATTGTGTTCTTTTAAAAAAGAATGCCATTATGTATTTATCCATAAGCACACTTCTCTTGATAAAATAGTGACAAGGAGTAAATAAAAGTTTTGAATTTCCATACCAGGGGTTGCAGATACGCCCAAAATTTCTTCACAGAATTTGGCATATTCTTCAGCAGGATCAGCAGAAGACTGTGTATGAAGAGTCTGATCAACCTTGCTTAAAACAATCTGACGAAGAGTCAGAAGACCTAGTTAAATAAGAACACGGAAAGGAATATCAGTAGACTTTGTTTATATAACTGTAACTATGAAAACTGGTCTGGGTTCAGTATCTAGCATCTCAAGTCAAGGTTAGCAGAGACTCTTCCCTGTAGTCATTTAGAGATGCTACCAGTTATTTTTGATCATTCTGAAGTAGGTTGAATAACTTTGTTTCAATGTAAGGAAGCATTCTACGATTCCAAGTTAAGCATTGTTTTTTTGATTCAATAATGCATTCAGTGCTCATTAAATTCTTTTACTATCTAAGTGTAATGCAAATCACAGCAGATAACAGCATGTGCCAAGTAATTAATTAACCTTGATTGATCTTGAAAAAGCTAACCTAGCCTTAGATGGGAAACCACTAGGAGAATCCAAGATAAGATTAGCCTGAAAAGTAAGACATTCAGGAATGGTAAACTATCTCTATACCAGACATGTCGAACACAAGGCCCAGGGGCCGGATGCGGCCCACGAAATGGTTTCATGCGGCCCGCGAAGCCATCCTGGAAACAGTGAGGGAACAGCCTCCGCTGCCTTGGCCCTGGCCCAGGCCGGCCGGGAGCCAATGTACAATTTTGTGGTGGCCATCTATGCTGAAACACATTCAGTCTTAGCTCCACAAAGCTGTCCAAAAACAGCGAGGAACCAGCCCCTGCTGTGTCGGCGCTGCCCCCTGGGTGCATGCTGGGGATGTGTCACCCTTTGTGAGGAATGAAGAAATGGACCATGCCTTGGCACTTGCCCCGGTCCCACCCCCTTCTGCCAGAGACCCTCAGATCTGTCCCACTCCTACCCAGGCCCTCACAGACACCCTTGACGCGAACGATGTAGAGCTGGCCATGCCCATCCAGTAGGCCACACCCACTCCAACCACAGCCACCCAGTAGGTCACACCCACCCTGGCCACACCCACCCGGCCCCCCAAGGGCAACCACAATGCTGATGTGGCCCTCAATGAGATTCAGTTTGACACCCCTGCTCTATACTGTTATCAAAGAAACAACATGAAAATATTGACTTCAGCTTGAGGGAGAATTAATCTTTGGAAGATTCAAGATACATTTCTTAGATTTCATTCATAAATAATCTCATTTAAATAATATTAAACAAACTATATATTTTCTCCAAGTGGGCTTCAATCTTTTCTCCCTTTTGGGAGGGGAATACTTTTCTTACATTTTAGATTTTTTAATAAATTTTACAAAATATATTCTTTATTATTCTGCTTGACTCAGATTACAAGAATTCTTTCTTAAAACTATCAAAATCAAATTAACTAAAAAAATAAGCAAAATACCTGTATTTGCTAGTCTAGAAGCTACTAGTTTCTCAAGGAGATCATCAGGGATCTGACTTCCATCTTTATAGTGTCTGGACATTTGCTGTAGAGGTTCTTTTTCCCAAACCCAGTTTTCAAACATTTGTGAAGGTACTTCTACAAAATCTGTTTCCACATTAGTTCCACTAAACCTAGCAAAATCAGTCTACGAAAGATGACAACAATATAAATAACAAAAATTTATGTGAATCAATATAAACGATAGAACTTTAAATCGTAGCATAGCTTGAAAAGTAAACATTCAATATTCTTTACCATAGTTTCAATATTTAGGAATGGTTCGGGCAATTCCTAAATAGAAATGCAGCAAATTTCCCAAAAGAGCCTGGATATTTGCATCTACATTCTACTGTTGCCGTCTGTTCTACAATGGTTTGGCATTGTCCAGGCCCCATCAATTAAACAATGCCATCTCATGTGAATCAAGAGTCATGCATTTTTTGATATCATGCCCTATGGAACAGCATCCCTCCTGAAATACAGATGGCCCCAATCTTGCTCAAGAAAGCCTCGAAAACTTGGTTCTTTCCTCAGGATATTGGATAAACTTGTCTTAGATTATGTCATGGGAGTTACAAGCCCCCAATGCAATTTATTTTTATTGATATATTATTGTAATATTTAACCTTCTCTAACTAGCTCAACTAAAATCACATGGAATGAATGAATTAAACAGACAAATAAAGTCTGTTATCAGCTGCAAAATGTGTAGCATGGAATCCACCAGCATATTATTTGCAGTCTCAGAATAGACGGGGACAATAATTTCAGCAATTTGGTAAATGGTTGGAATTTTAAATGGATCTACTTTGTTTAAGACATCAGTTTAACCCTTTAAAACTTATGACAATCCACTTTTGGAGTACATCCCTGAATATGTTATACCCTTGACCTGATACTATGGCTCACATACATGAAATAAAATTGTTCAATCACTATTCTGGGGACTGACTGACAATTTTGTTCAACACAAACTGACTACGCAAAACTAATTTACCAACCCTACCATAGCTCATACCAGACTTTTCAGATAATATTCAAGCTGGTCCAGTTTAATATTCTAAAGTATTAATGAATCAGAATCAAGAGTAGACTTTATGAGTACAAATAGGGCTGATTCTGAATGGTTCAATCAACAAATGCACAAGCAAGTTTAATCCTCCAAGGAACAGTTCCTAAGTTAACAAATTAAACTATAATGTATTCTTATGGCTTAGTATATTGGAAACCATTATAGTTGAAGAACCAAAGTTTAGAGTTTAGCTTGTAAGAACAGAACAAATAATGGATTTAGTGAACACTGTTAAATAAACTATAACTCATCACAATGTGTTAATTCAATCAGTGTCTTTGCAAAAATCACTGGCAAGTCTCATAGTGACTTTTATGAAATCAGGGTTAAAGGAACTATTTTAATTATATTTCAGTTGAACAAATTTGCCATGCAATTCTTTACTGCTGTTCCCTTTAAGCACAGAAGCCACATAGCTATAGTAGAAGAATGTCAGAATAAGGCAAGTACTTACCTGAGCGCATATCTGATGCATTACATGCCCAAACTCATGGAAGTAAGTTTTCACTTCATTATGCTGCAGCAGTGATGGGCGATCTAAGGTTGGTTTTGTGAAATTAGTTACAAGAGCTGCTACTGACATCATTCTGCTGCTGTCAGAAAGAAGGCAGCCAGGCTGGAGACCAAAGCATGCAGCATGCCCATACTTTCCTTCTCTGAGTAATAAAATAAAAATAGATCAAAACAGGAAAACATCACAAAGAAAGAAAATGAATCATTTGGCACTTCTTAACTGATATCTACATGAATGACTCATCCTTTTCCTGGAATAGTCAGGAACAATACATTTGTCTAAAATTTCATAATGAGCTTTTGGGGTTCTATCGTTGTAGTAGTCTGATGTATACATTGCATCTTTTAAAATATCTTAATGCTAAACAGTTTCCTTTTTAAAAAAATCAGAACAACTCTTCTTAAGAGAGAGAAAAAAATGTTTTTGTGAGATGGTTCCACTGTGCGCTATGTTAAGTCATTTACAATTACACAAAAGAGTTATTCTATTGCCTGAACCATTGGCTTATCTTTCTACCAAGCTTTTGGAACTGGGAAGTAAAATAAGGACAACAAGTGGTATTACTCCATCTCATCATATTTTTTACTATCACACTTGCACTAAACCAGTCTTTTTAGTGGACTTCAGTTCCCAGAATTCCCTAGCTGCAAAAAAAAGTAGTAAAAGTAGATGTGATCACATAATAGCTTGCTTAATTAGTGATTTATGACTGTAATTCCAGGCTCAATTAAGTTCTTGACTACCAATAAATACTTCTTTTGTGGGATAAAAGCAACTGTGTGTTGTTTAGATGGCAGCGTGTGAATGCTTGGAGTAAAACAGCTTGGCTTGTACTTTAGGCATATTAGCCAAATAAAAGAAATACAATAAAATGTATATGCACAAAAGCACAGCTGTACAGGATTTTTTCAAAGATAGCAAAGAGCATTTCATTTCACAGAACCAGAGGAAATATACATGAATTTTGATTCAATTTTAGAAGTGAATTAAAAAGGTTAAACCAAGAATCTCTTTTTCTGACTGAAAAGAATTAAAAATGAAAAAAAAAAATGAAATGATTTGGGAGGAAACCTAAGGTAAGGATATGCTGTAAAATATATTTTAGAGATTTCTGTGGGACTAATAAATTGAAAACTAGAATTAAAATGCCATAAAAATAATATCTAAGAAAAAACAATAAAAAGAAAAGAAATGCTGTGAGAATTTTGAAAAAGGGTGCAGGTGATGAGAGTGTAACTGGAGAAATGTTATAGAATGTTTGTGTTTGAAGTCTCTAATCTGTGTTCCCTTATACAAAAGGAACATAACAAAAGTGATGAAAAATCTATAAAGGGATTACCTTAAACCATCCTGGAAAAGTATCTGGCAGAATTCTGACTGAAAAGGTATGAGAGATGACAAACAAATTTGGAGAAGTGCATCCATAAGCTGAATGGAGGAGAAAGAAGATTCACTGCATGTTTGTTGATTTAGAAAAAACATGATAAAGCGAATCTCTTTGAATTATGGAATATTCTGTATGAATATGGAACCAAAGGTTGGCTGCCTAGTGCAATAAGAATGTTATAAATAAACAAACAGTGATAATAAATGGAATGCTGAATGAATGGGTGAAGTAAACGTAAGTCTGTATGATGCAGCAAGAAATATATATCTGAAAATTAATGTATTAAAGACCAAGATAACTATTTTGACTAAAATAGTCAAATGGCCTGAAAATATATTTCAGTAATAATACGGGACAAATAAATAGATGAATTTGTGTACCTTGGTAGAATATTTAGATGATAAGAAAGTGGATGAAAAAGGATGTTTAAAGCAGTGGTTCTCAACCTTTCTAATGCCGCGACCCCATAATACAGTTCCCCATGTTGTGGTGACTCCCAACCACTTATACATCACCGGGTGCCAGTAGCGTGGCCAAAGGGGAAAAAAATGGCGGACAGCCTTGTTTGGCGACCCCCGTGAAATGGTCGTTCGACCCCAAATGGGGTCCCGACCCACAGGTTGAGAACCACTGGTTTAAAGGGTAGTGAAGCTAAGGAGATCTTCTGTGGTCTGTGTCATCACCAGTCAGGCAGCTATTAAATGCCTGACAATACAGGCAGTCCTCAACTTACGACCACAACTGGGACCGGAATTTCAGCCATAAGTTGTTGTGATCATAAGTCAAGGCTCCCATGTGGCTGGATCTGATTTTGAAAGTGTTTTTACAGTAGTCATGAAGTGAATTACACAGTCGTAGATCTGAATCACACAATCATTAAGTGAATCTACAGACATGTTACTATGGGATGCTGCAGCACAGTGCAAGTGTGAGCCAGTTGCCAAATGCCTGAAATGCAGTAATGTGACCAGAGTTTGTGTGTGCTGTCTGGCAGTGTGATATTTTATGATGGCCGGAATTACTTTACAGACAGTAAAGCACCCTTTCTGAGGCCATTATAATTTTGAATGGTTGTTAAACGACTGTTGTAAATCAAGGACTACCTGTATTAAAACTTACACATTACTTATCACAATCAACAGAAGCAGTGTGATGTAACACTTAGAGATGTACCATAACTAGGATGCTCAGAAAACTACTATTATTTCCCAAAAACATATTGTTTGGAAAGATGAGAAAAACATTGTTGTGGAATAACCTTTGTTCAAATCTTCACTGATTCTCACTGGATGACCTTGCATCAGCCTCCCTCTTTCAGTCTAACCCTACAGGGCTATTATGGGAATACAATCATAACTTGAATCATGTCTACTGAAAGAGTTCCTTGGATAAAGAGAAAAATACAAATGTTATCTTTGAAAAAGTGTGTTACCTTGGGTATAGATCTAAATAGAACTGCCCCAGAATTTCTCCTGTTGAACTGTCCTTTACTGTGTAAAGAGTAACACTCTCATGCCAAACATGAGCATCTTCCACTCGTTCAAATACAAGACCCAACAGCTGCTGGTAAATTTTCAGCAAGCCTTCTGTGACTGCTTCAATAGGAAAATACTCCTTCAGCTTTTCTTGGTCTACAGAATATTTGAGCTCTTCTGTCTGATTCATGTAATAATGTAGATCCCATGCGTTAATCTTTCTATCATATTTAACACCTATTTCTTCACATTCCTTTTTCTTCAGATTTAAAATAAATGCTCTCTCTTCTTTACCCAAAAGTTTTAGCTTATTACTTAGATCATCTGCAAAACAGAAATTTAAAAATTACTTTGAGCGCTTGTTACATCCCATTTCAGATTACATTCAAGATTAAAAGAGAAATATTTTTCTCATGATCTAATTATTAGATGCTAAAACAAGATACAGTTTTGAAAAACATTTTCCAACTGTTTGTACTGCTGTTTCCTGATTTGCTCTATATATCATATAATCCCAAAACAAATTTATTAAATTACAGCTTAGCATTATGAGCACTGGGCCTTCTATGTGAGTGATACTGATTGATGAAAGCAGTAAATGTTTCAACATTTTTATTGATTCTTCCATAACTAAAAGCTAATATTAATGATATTGAAGAAGCAATTTCACTGAAAACAATAGTGAGAGTAACTTTGTGCAAAACAATTCACTCTGGTCCAAATATTATACATCAATTGGACCAAACCATTTTGGAATTATATGACCTTCATAAGATTTTATTAGGTTCAAAGTATCTATTTTGGAACTGATGGAATGGGATTCCATAGTCTAAATCAGTGATTCTCAACCTTTCTAATGCCGTGACCCCATAATACAGTTCCCCATGTTGTGGTGACCCCCAAGTGGGTGTGGCCACCAATAAGAGGGAGTAGGACAGCTAGGGAAAAGGGGAAAAAAATGGCGGACAGCATGGTTTGGTGACCCCCGTGAAATGGTCATTCGACCCCAAATGGGGTCCCGACCCACAGGTTGAGAACCACTGGTCTAAATCATATAAAACTGGAAAGTTTTATAATGTGTAAAATTCAGGAATATTAAGTTCATGTTCTGGCAATTACTCTAGTTTACAAACTAAAAATAATGAGTTCAATTTTGAATCACTTTTCTTAAATTTCAGGCATTGTTAAAAACACAAAAATATGAAATCACAGCTGCCAGTTCTTTAGCTGGTATTGGTCTCCGTACACATCAAATTGTTTCCTTAATACAATATTATCATAATTATTATTTCTAAATGAACATACAATTACTACTGTTTTTTTTTTAAAATTTGAAATGCTTCAGATTCATCCTGTCCCTGGCAAAAAGCTCTGTTATTTTCATTATAAATATTTTACTATGACTTAAATTACTCTGATAATATTTTACATATTAAATGAAAACTGACCTAAGAACATTGTAACATTGTTTGTTATTTTTGCAGTATTCATTTCAAGAACAAAACTTGCATGTGTGCTATACCCCAGAAGTTCTGCTAGTTTTGCCCTCAAAGGAAGAAGCTGTCGAAGAATGTCAGCATTTTCCTAGGAAAATACATTTGTTTTCAGTCATTAAATATAATATAAAAACATAAACTCAAGTATGTTACAAACGTAGTTGAAAACTGCATACTCAAATTTTGAATGCAACCAAACTTAATTCTCTTCTGAAATAACGGATTTTTAAAAAGTTTAAAGTTCCCTTTTATTTTGTAACAAAGAATTTATAAGGAATATTTGCACTATTTAGAAAAGATTTTCAGATCAAATGTCTGGATTGTATGCCAAAGGTTTCAGTTCCAATTCTGGCATCTCTAGAAAAAAGACAGCAGCAGGATAACACTGAACAAAATGACTTAACTTAATACAAAGCAAACCACTGCTTGCATGCATTATTCTGGAAATGGTATAAGTACATATACAACAAATAGAACATTTGATAAGTTTTCTGAAGAGAGAGGAAATGAATCAAATAAATTCAGTATGAAGTGGGTATTAATTAGTCTGGCTTGTCATTTAATTAATTATGTTACTCAGTTCCGGGAAATGTTATGATATCCTGGAATTTTAAGAATTATCAACATCAATTATCAACACATTAGAAATGTAAAATGACAATACCATAATTTTCTTGTGACATAACTGCTTTAACAATGTATCTTTTCCAAGCAAACCTATCCATCTATTTTACTCACTCATTGCTCAGCCTGTAATTAATAACTTGAATTTTATTCAACTACATTAAATCTTCTGAGAAATTTAGACTCAACATATCCAGAAAGAATCAAACTGGGAAGGCTAATATAAAATACATTCGACTGCTTATATGACAAATGTAATTAAATATATCAGTAGTAATGTTTATGAAATTTGGCTTCTGGAAATAAAATCACTCAATTACAGACAGAACTTTTGCAAAGATGAGAAAGCCATATTGGTATCTTTCATGCCCAAGAATACATATGACTATAGAATTTCTCAATCTGTAACACTTCTGTCAATTTTAAATATTTTCATATTTGTAATTAAATTAACAAAAGCTAACTGTTTTTCATAGACAGAATGGAAATAGCTGAAACTCACTATTGTGCTTCCACATTTTTATACTACACTGCTGTTTTATTTTTCATTGTATGATGTTTACCTGATATATATTTAAAATAATATATATCATGTAAACAAATATTTAATTTACAGAATTGCTAATATTTTCTACGTTGTATTTGTGGCAGATTGGCAAAGCAGAACTGAAAATAGGCAAAACTTGCTTGCATTATATTTTTTTCAAGCAAAGAAACATTTATCATTGTTTATAATGGGTGATAAGGCAAGAATTTTTTGTAGAGGACAGTGTACTGGAATAACTGACCCAGCAGAGAAACACGAAGGTTAGTGACTTCAAATCCAAGGACTCTTTCTTCTTATCTCCTCCTTCCTTTTTTGCTATTTCTCCAATAAAAGTTTTAGGCACCATTAAGCTACAATCTTCAAAAGCTGGTAAGAAATCAGGAAAAGTAATTTAAATTTCATTCTCCTGAGACGGGAGTTTCTCCCCAGTTTTGGAATGGCAATCCCGGTAATCAGATGTTTCCTAAAGTTTTCTCTCAGAGACCACAAAATTACAACCTTATAATTCATTTTGTGGCTGAGATGGGCTAAAATTAATTTAATAAACAAACAAATATTAATAAATTAAGTAAAAATTAACACAAACAATAGTATTATCCTAATTTGTTTCATCTTGATATTATAATTATTAAGACTGTTTGAACATGTAATTATATATGATGATGTATTTATCACAGGAAGTATATTATAGATTATTTTATATAATATTAAAATAGGACATAAATCTGGAACATTCAACTTAGAAAGCATATGCTTCTGAATTTAACACAGCCCTTCACATATCTAGCTTTGTTAGTACAGTCCTTATATTTTATTTTGACATATTATGAATGGGAGAAAATTTTCATACCTCTCTGCACCTGCTGTTAAAAGAAGCTTCCATTTTTCGTCTGGTATCTGGAATGCTGCACTTCTTCATAACAGGAAAATAGTGGGGATATTTTAAGGTAACTTTATACTTGTCAGCTTCAATCTTCTCTAAACTACTGATAAAATCATCAGGCAGGGCACCTGAGAAACATATTTCATTACAGGATTAATATGACACATTTTTTCAGGCATGTCTTTTAACAAATCATTTCATATGTTTAGTGGCCAATAGCTTTCTACAGACAAAAGGCATTTAAGGAACTTTACTACTGAAATATAAGTTAAAACTGCCTGTATATACAAATGAGTAAGCTATGATTTTATCAGTTAATTGTCCATATTAAAGTAATCATGCTTACTCTATTATTAACGAAGAGCAAAATTATAATATCTATTTAAATGCGTTGTTGTGATAACAATAGAAATTTAAGCAGGCATTTATTTTCTGGAGTCAGTAGAACCTTGTCGAGAACACAGGAACAAGTAGCCAAAACCTGTCAAAGCAATTAAGGTTGATCAGCGTATGAAACAATTTCAATATAGCATGAACACTTTCTGTACTGTAGTGTTTACTAATATGATGGTATTATTGAAATATAGACTTATCTCAAAAATAGCAAACAGAAATACTCACAAAGTTCATTTTGAGAAAATATCAAAAATGTGTTATCTTCATTGAGATTTTTGCTGAAATCTATACACAACTCACTCAGCTTCTGCTTGATTGTCTTGATTTCCTAAATTTCAATTCATATATAAAAAGCAAAATGTTACATTAAAGGTATCATTGTTCATTACTGAAGTTGTACAGAACATTCAAAACAAGGTATGCTTCTCAAGGTGTGCTGTCCCTAATGTTCTGCATGAACATGGAACAGTCTATGAAGAAACTGCCATGAGCTTCCTACGAGACACAAATGCCTTAATGTTTCAAAGAGAGATGCTTTCCTTATGCTAACATGCTTTGTGAACAAGCTCCTTCCATTGTTTTGCTTTCAAGGACATAGCCCAGCTTTATTCTTATTATTCTCTTCTCATTTTTGGCACACAGTTTAAAGCAGTGGTTCTCAACCTGTGGGTCGGAACCCCATTTGGGGTTGAACGACCATTTCACAGGGGTCGCCAAACAACGCAGTCCGCCATTTTTTTCCCTTTTCCTTAGCTGTGCTACTCCCTTTTATTCTATTGGCTTTTGAAAGCCAATAGAATAGACTCTCTTGAATAGTCTAATTCTATTGGCTTTCAAAAGCCAATAGGAATTGTCCAGGCTGTCTCTGCCCTGCTGAGCCCACCAAAAGTCCCATTCTGCAAATGGTGCTGCACCAGTTGAGTAGTCCTCGACTTACAACCGGCTGAGTAGTCCTCGACTTACGATCAGTTGGGGGATCGCGGCATTAAAAAGGTTGAGAACCACTGGTTTAAAGAGAACAAGAATAAGGAAACTACTATCTTTTAAGCACTTTTCTGAACTATGGTACCATAGCTGGATAAGGCAGATAAAAAAATATGATAAACTTCTTTATTAAAGTATACAAAAAATTCCCAGTATTCATTTAATACATAAATACATTATTTCCTTTTATACATTTATTTCCTTTTATATATTCTAAGTGCATCATTTTGTCATAAGTCAATGTGGTGTGCTTTCAGCTAAAAGAAACACATTTAAAATAACTATTTCTTAATTTATCCATACTTTCATATATTTAAGATAACAGATTACATACAGTACAGTTTAAAGCAAGGAGCAAACCTCTGGTCATCTAACATATTTTACCATCTCATCGAGGCAGAAATTGGAAAGGCTGGAAATTATGACTCTCAGCCTAGAGAGACTACTATACAAAGACACCTACATAGGTTTGATACCTATTCCCTATGATCTTATGGAGGGAGAGAGTTAGTTAGTTAGATGATTGATTGATAGATAGATAGATAGATAGATAGATAGACAGACAGATTGATTTTGGGAAGAGATTTGCAAAAAGAAGACTTGTTCATTAATGGATGCTGTTCCATGAATGGATGAACAGACCTTAATATCACCCAATACCCATTGGTATTTTTAAAATTATTTTGGTAGGTTTTCTTGAATATGTATGTAGAAAGTTGTCAATAACGCAAGAAAGTAATTAGCTAATGAAAAAAATTAGTATCATGTTTAACACTACAGAATTAGGATATTTTAAATCCCCAATTAGTCATAAATCTCTTGTTAAGGGAGCCAGTTAATTAGTTTTAGCTTAATGAATATTGCATAACTATTCTTTAAATCTACACCATTGAGTCTTCAGTTAATGTCTGCTGTTGGTTGTACATATATTTAAAGGAAATTATTGCTATGCACTGCTCAATTAAACTAAGAAATATGAAATAAATATGGAAATATAATAATCCCACCCAATAAGATATGTAAATATCAGTGTCTACCTGGCAAAACATTCTTACCATACCTTCAAAGTCTTTTATGAGATGCAAACAGTTTAGAAAGATTAAATTCAGAAGAATATAACACAAAAGAATGGAAGTACAGTTAGACCATAAAATTATATCACTTGAAATAGTCTTAACTGCTTTTATTCTACAGAATTTGCATTCTTAGAGTAAGTAGGAAACCAAGGGGACTTTTGTATAGGATTTCAATGTGTTATTTGTAAGACTTATTAAAGTTGAAATTAATATACACATACTTTTGGGCAAATGTAATTTTTCCCTTTTAAAAAGTATTGAATTATGCTACACTTACATTCTGGACTTCTGCAGGAAGGTGAAGCCCATTCCTTTCCCCCATTTTTATTGACTTCTCTAAGAATCTTTTAGCTTCTGGTCTTAAAGTCTCAGGGTTACACTTTTGCTGAAATGTAAAGAAATAATAACATTTAATATATTCAAAGTTCAGTATTAATACATGAGTTATATTTCTACATAAAACATGAAATATTTCACCTGGTATCAGAAGAATAGTTTGAATTTTTCTACTCAGTGATGAATGCCTGTTCAATAGCAAAAAAGTTAGTTTTGGCAGAACAGATTCCTTATCTTCCGAATTCCTCTTATTTCCTAAAGTGGATTAGGAGCGTCTTTTCCCAAAAAAATAATATGGGGTATAAAGCTGGTGTCAAACAGCTTCAATTGTATACTAATAACAGCCTCATAAACTTCAAGACTATATGTATAGATTACAGCTAGAAACCAAGAATAAGCTTGCCTTAAATCACCTACGGTAGTAATTTGTGCCAGAAGCAAGACTGGAAAAGGAGCTGATCTGTCTCTTATTTGAAATAGTGAACTAATTAATCCAGCTAGCCATTTCCTATTGGTACAAACATCTTAATTTTTGCCCATCACAAATATGCACGGAATTGGTGCCAGGTGAGAAACTTTAGCTAATACAGAACTCCTATTTATCAATTAATATTCTTTCAGAAGTATGCTTAATACCAAAATAATGTAAACAAACATTAAAAGCAAGAAAACATTACATAATATATAAGACAGTATATTACGAAGATAGACTTTTTTAAAAAAAAACAGATTTGTTTCAATTAATTTTCCATTTACAGATATTACAAGAAACTATTGTCAGCTGAGGAGTAACAACAAACCACTTTAACTCAGGATGCTGTAAGGTGACTCAGAATACAGAAGATTTATGCTTTTAAAAATATCCCATCCTTGTTTTGTTTAAACCAGTACCCACCATCCTTCCACATTCATTTAAATTCAAAATTTGCCATTAAGATTTTACTTGACATGTCTCACAATATAGGCCAGCTGTAACACATCAAATTAGCAGCATGTCGGGCCGTAGTGGAGGCCGTCCGGGTTACCTGCATCAGCGAAGCCTCTACTTCCTGGAACGGCGTCCGACCGGCCCGACATCCAGCTGATTGGCGCGCATGCGCAGGAGCCGATCCGACGCTCAGATGGTACTGCCGGAGCCGCACATGCGCAAAAGACACTCCAAACAGCATAACGCATGCGCAGTTGGTGGAATCGACGGAACTTGCGCAATCCCTGTGTGAGGATACTAGACTGAGGCCGCTTTCACTAATTAAAGCTGTTAGGCTGCCGAAGCATCGGGAAGCGGCCGAAGCGTCGGGAAGCGTTAGGAGGCGGTAGCTACAGGTCATGTTAATCGGATGCATTACCATATAGGGGTGTTGGGTGGTCCGGAAGAGGGTGGTGGCGCATGGGTGGTAGCATGAGTGTGGGCTAGGCGGGGTCTTTGTAAACTGTATAAAGAAGCCATGAGTGCAATGGTTGTCAGTGCTGACTTTAATTCATTACTTTACAAAAATAAATTGGAAGTTCTTCGTTCCTGACGTGGTGAGTTTGACTCAGTTGATTGGGTGTCAAGACGAGGCAACACAGCATCTTTGGGAAGAGATTGTCATCTAGCTAGATTTTCATCTAGGTTTAGTTGAAATGCCCTTTCTTCTACCTCCTGAGGAATTATATGTCCAAAATCTGAACATATATTTTTTTTATTGAATTTTTTTCAAAAATTTTACAAATAAACATCCACCCCCCCCTCCCAAACCACCCCACCCTCCCCCCCCCGACTTCCCAGAACTGAATATAGGATTATTTAACAAATTTTAAAAAATAACGTATACAATTTATAAGATAATTAATAATAATAATAATAATAATAATAATAATATATATAATAATAATATACGTAAAAAAAAGGGAAAAAGAAAAAAGGAAAAAAGAAAAGAGAGAGAGAAAGAAAAAAGAAAGAGGTAGGCGAAAAATAAAACATATATAGAAAAGTATATAACTAATAATACAGAAGAAAAAAGAAAGGAAGAAAAAAAAAAACAATCATTACAAGTTATAAAAAGGCTAAATAATATTTTTCCATATCTAAATTATGTTGTATAAAATTTATCCATTTTTCCCATACCGCAAAAAATTTCTCTTGAGATTGCTCCTTTAAAAAAGCCGAAATCTTTGCCATTTCTGCCAAATACGAAACTTTATAAAACCACTCTTGTAAAATAGGCAAGGATTCCTTCTTCCAATATTGTCCTATTAACAGCCTAGCGGCTGTAATCAAATTTAGCATCAATATAACCTCCCTAGCATCACAATCAGTAACAATACCTAATAAAAATAATTGCGGAGTAAATTTTACCCTCCTTCTAAAAATTCTCTGAATATTCCACCATATCTTAATCCAAAAAGCTTTTATATGCTTACACATCCACCAGATATGATAATAAGTAGCATCCAAGTGTCCACATCTCCAGCATTTCGGCTGTAAATTAGAGTACATAATGGACATTTTCTTAGGATCAAGGTGCCATCTATAAAACATCTTATAAAAATCAAAATCTGAACATATTGATATGTGCATAATAATAATAATGGAGCAAACTTTCTCCCAAGATGGCTGCTGAACTATAAGAATTTTTCTTTTTCCTTCCAAAGATCTGCTGATTTTGCTGCCAAAGCTGGTTCTTTGGCAGTGTTGTTCCCTGGATTTGAACGGGAGCACTTAGGAAAGACCCAAGACGGCTTTCAGTTGGCTGCGGACCCACCTGGGAAGGGGAGCCTTGAAGATTCCAGTTCCCCATGGGAGTGGTTGGAAAATCATTGGTCATCCATCTTCTTCTCAACAGTTCATTTTCTTAAGTATTTCTGGGTTTTAATTTCACTTTTGAATCTTTTGATTCACTTTGCTTTTTATCTTTAAAAGTTGACTGGCTGGCTGAATGCTGATTTATTTTAACTTCTATCTGATTTTTTCTCCTTTGATTTGTTATTTTGAATAATTTTTGCTTTTCTGTAAGGAAACATGGTGGTTCTAGGATAGTGAAAGTGCTTTCATTTGATTTACATCTAATAGTGGACTTTCACCACAGGGTTTTTGCATTTTATTAATTTGCAAAATATTTGGAACTTATTTTTTAATTTTTTCTTTTAGTTTTGGATTGAAATATCCAGAAAATATCTTCCCTACTTCTTTATTTATTTCTTCAGTTAGCTTCAGCATTCTTTGTTCCTGGCTAAGTTACACAGAGCAACAATGTATCAGATTACAGACAAGCAAATGTGGCTGATATTTGAAAAAAAAAATTGGCAACATGCAATATTTAGTTGAAAGCTTTTTTAAAAAGTTTGATGCCATGATAATGGCTGTGGAAAATATTCAGATGCATGTAGCTCTGCATAAATTAGATTCATAAAAGGAATGTTTTGAAATCAGCAGATCTGTTGGAAAGAAATATGGACTGTATAGACTTAGAACTGAGTTAATTGCATACCTCCTTGAAATTCAAGTTTGCATTCTTTCACAATAGCAGAAACCTCGTTGAGAAGTGATAAATTGGTTTTCCTTAGGAGGATTGAAGAAGATTGGGGAATGGATTTATCACACTTAACTGGAAATCAATTTCATCTGGACTTTGTTGGGAAGATAAACCAACTTTGGAGATCAAATTTATTATATTTAACCAGAAAATAATTGATAAGGGATAGTATTAAGACACAAACGTGGATATTTAATCCAGGACAAATTACTGTTAACTTTGGGGATGATTTGGGATAGATAAGATACTGTGGTAAATTTTCTACGAGTTGATCACAATAATGGTTTTTAACAGAGAGAGGGCTCTGAAACTTTATTTTTGCCTTTTTATTATTATTGTTCTTGTTAACTATTTTGTCATTAATATATTATTCAGATGATAGGTTAATAATTTGCAAATAGATTTAGTAATTTAAAAATTTGGGGGGACTGTTTCGCAAGGGATAGGAAACTAATATTGTAGTAATGTATTAAACAGTATTCAACTAAGGGGGATAGTATATGTATATGTGTTAAGTTTTTTCTTTTTTATGCACTTTTTAGTGTCTTTTTTAATTTTTGGAGCTTTGTATTTTACCTTTTTTGAATAAAATTAAAATAGAACAAAAAATAATGGAGCAATATAGGTAAGAGTAATCATGATATGACGGTTAAAAATACTGCTAGAAGCATCATGTATAATATATTATTCTCTCTGCCAATTCTAAAAAGTTTTCAGATTTCTGTCTGAAGGGTAAAAGGCTGAGCCTTTAATTCACTCAATACAGGCAAAAGTAATCTAACCAAATGTATCCTGGTAAGGACAAAAACATTCTTGTCAAAGGAATATAAAATGACCAATCACTTCATTCTTACTGTATCAGTGAAGAGGGAAAATACATGCTAAACATTTGCAGTTCACAAGGGCAGAACTCTCATTAATGTTTGTATTTTAATCATAGCAACGAGTAACAAACATTCATAGCCATTAAAGGCAAGCTCATCTTTAACAAATTCATTCATCTTTGTACCTTAGATCAGATCATTCTGACATATCATGAAAAGATTAACATGACTGCATGTATTTTGCGACACCCTTGTTGAGTAAGACAATTTAGAGCAAGAAGAGGAACCATTTCTTCTATGGGTTAGTAAACAAACTATGGTTTAATTTTTTTTATTCAGCATGATGTATGAACTCAAAGCCTTGGTTGGGGTAGACAAAGGCAGAATATTGTTTGCCTCAGCAGAGAAATACTGCATTCTTTTCCTTCTAATAATGGATTTGGGAATAAAATTGGTTGGAGGGTAGAGTTAAACTATTTCCAACCATAACAGATCAGGAGTGTTGTTTCTCTGCAGCTTTGAAGGTAGGAGGGAGATTTCTTTTCAACTATCAACCCTGTAAAGCTTAATGAACATCAAGACTATCAGGCTACCTTCAACAAATGTTTATAAACACACCCTGGTTTTGGAACTGCTTCTCTATACCTAATTATGCTCTTCTTTATACAATGATGCTTTTTATGTGCACTTTTGACATCTGAAATTCACCC